TTGATTTAGGTGGTAGGGATGGAGTTATCTGTTGTTGGAATGTGCCGAGCACAACAGGCGATCCGTATGAGGCTTACGGTAAGTTTGCTTTATGATATAAAAAGTGACACCCAATGTATTTCTATAGGGAATTTTATAAGAACTTTTTAAGATCCGAAAGTGCTGAGTGAGAGTTTGCGTGGGCATAAGGATGCCATATGGTCAATAGCGTATCATTCATCTGACAATCGGCTAGTTTCTGCCTCTTCCGATGGAACTATTAAATTATGGGAGCCAGGTAGGTCTTAGTATTTTTCCAGCTATGATGGTTTGGTTTCAAATTATGTTTAGGTAATTTCGGTGAACCACTGCTGCGAACCTTAGAACCGCCCCTGGCTGGACTTGTACCTACTTCTGTTGATTTTGTATCTACCGAACCAAGCCAACTCCTAGCTGCATACACATCCTCAACAGCTAACATAATCGATATTGAGACGGGCGCCACCATACTTACCTTTGATTTTGGGGACGGTATGTTTACATTCTTTTCCCTTTTTCATGCCTGGTCGTAAATTGCGTTATAGAAGTGAGAGCCGTTTGATGTCGTCAAATAGGTACTTTTAATTTTAAGGGACTTTTATCTCGCTTTCTGCTTCTTATAGTTCTTACAGTATTGTGAAACTGAGGAAATGTTTTTAGATGTAGTACCTGGGTGTCGGATCACGCGAATTCTCTCACATCCAACAATGCCTTTGACTATCACTGCAGGTGATGACAGGAAGATCCGTTACTTCGATAATCATACAGGTACTATAATGGCACCTCTGCTTTATCTCGATGGTAAGCTGCTCTAATCATTTATTATCTATATATGCAGGGAAATTGACTCATAGCGCTGTGGCTCATGTAGAAGGAATCTCATCTTTGGCCATAGACCCGAATGGTTTGTATCTGTTGTCAGGAAGCCATGACGGAAGTTTAAGAATGTGGAATATGGAAAAGCGTGTTTGTTTGCAGGTTTGTGGGAACTCAATCTTTGCGTTGTTTGTATGTGTGTTTTTTAATATTATGTAGCTCTGATCTCAAAATTCCACTGATAAAATTGACGAAAACTGTTCTATTAACTTCTAGGAGATCTCTGCGCATCGCAAGAAGTACGATGCGTCTGTGACCTGTGTGGCTTTCCACCCGTCGCGACCGCTCATAGGATCAGCTGGAGCTGATTCATTGGCTAAAGTTTACTGTCCCGCGTCTTCCTAATTTTGACCCTTGCAGCTCATTAATGACTCAATATCCTGATTTTAACTGTGCTGGTGAATCCATTAAGGTGCACATCAATAGAGACATCTTAACTTTGGCTCATGATAAGTTATTGATTCGTTTTAGCGTTACGATCTTTACCCAATTTGTTTCACCTTTTTCGTGGCTGTTGTCTGCCGAATATTGTAAGCAATACGTTTAAGGAGCTGTGCTTAATGTTCAGCAGCTAACATCATC